TTCTTTGATTTTATGTGCTGACAGGTCTCCTTCGAATGCAACTTGGGCATGTCCTTCATTTTGAACTTAAAGCCTCCTTCAAATGCAAGTTTAGGCCTATTTCGATTTGGACAAGTAGCTGCCTGCAAGCCTGCTTCGATTTGGTTAAATTTGCTGCCTGCAAGCCTACTTCGATCTGGACAAGTTTACTGCCTGCAAACATGTTTCGATTGGGCAACATTGCTTCTTTCGATCCACAGCCTTCGGTTGGGAAGCATTGCTTCTTTCGATCCACAGCCTTCGATTCAGCAACAGTCTCCCTTTGATCCACAAGCTTCGATTGGGCAACATTGCTTCCTTCGATCCATAAGCTTCGATGGGAAATACAGTCTCCCTTCAGTCACAAGCTTCGATGGGAAATACAAACTCCCTTCAGTCACAAGCTTCGACTTGGAAATACAGTCTCCTTCGATTCACAAGTTGGACCACTGTACTGCCATGCAACAAACACTACTGCGCTTCTATGCAGCAGTCCTGTACCCACCTACCACTACGCTCCAAAACACTGCTGAGCCTACTACAACAGTCATGTACTTGCCCAAAAAGGAGTGCACAAGAGCTGCGTAGAAGAAAGGATCGAAACAGCATTCCCAAACTGTTCAAATCATTTTGTTTTCCCACCAAAACTTCAGCAAATCCGCCTATAAATACAAGGCTTCACAACATGAAAAAAGCAGGATCTTTGGGCAAGACGAACCTCTCCCAAATTTTTTCAAACACTGTAAAAAATCATAAAAAAATCCAAGAGGACTTTGGGCCAGAAGAATCTCTCCCCAATTTTCTCCAACCCAGAAAAATTCTCAAAGTTCATAAACACTTGAGAAATATAAAAAACAGAATCCCACACACTTCAGTCTCCTTCGATTCTGAAGAGCATCAACACACATTCTCAAAAACACCAAATTTTTCCCAAACACAAAAATCTCCCAAGTCCCTTCAATACTTGTGAGAACAAACCCAGAATCCACACACTTCAGTTTCCTTCGATTCTGAAGAACAACCACTTCAGTCTCCTTCGAATCAAAGAAGCATCACGCTTGCTTTTTTCTTTTCCTTCAAGTCCAGCGCTCCAAGCACAACCTGTGACACCTCTTTCGAATCCAGCACCCAGGGCCACCACTCCAGGCCCAGCACACGTCCCAGCCAGAAGCAAGGTAAGTCATTCTTACCCTTGAACATTTCGTTTCATGCCATGACATGTAAATAATCTTTTGTTCGTTTCAAGCATGTGAATAATACTTTTGTTCGTTTCAGAACATGTAAATACAATTTCTTTTCGTTTCCACCCTGTTAACATGTTTTAAAAGTTAACCCTTTTGTTTTGCTTTAATTATTAAATTGTTACTAGCATGGCCTCAGGCCATGTTGTCATTTAATATTTGAATTGAAAGGAAGCAGGATACAGGAATAGGAAACGAAGCTTCTGGCTTCTACCCTCCTTTTTCCAGGTCGAACGAAAGAGACAGCCAGGAGGCAAACCATGTCCAATCGAAAGACATCCCCTCACTGTTTTCAACCTCCAGTTGAAGAAGGCAACAAGGCAGACTTCGCCATACACTGACTTCCAGGCCAATCGAAGGATAGAATTTGCTGCTGCCAAAGCCTAATCGAAAGACAGAACTCACTGTTGCCAGCCCCAGTCGAAGGATACAACTTACTGCTGCCTTTGCCCAATCAAAGGACAGGACCTCGCCCCTGCCAAAGCCCAATCGAAAGACATGACTTCACTGGTGCCAGCCCCAATCGAAGGAGGCCAACAAAATGCCATTCGAAGTGTGCTCCTTCCTGGTCGAAAGATACTCATTTTCTTACTTTTATCTTCTTTTTTTTTCCTTCATATTTTTTATGCCTTTTGATATGTTTGTAATAGTGTAGGTTTTTATCACTATGCATTTTTATTTACTTTGTATAAATGCTAGTAATTAGGCAAGATAAAATCAACAAATAAACAAACCAAAAAAATCTAAAAAACACTCTTTAATCATTACTTGAACATGCATTAAAACATGCAAAAACACTCAACAAATCAAAACTCCCCCAAGGGCATATTATCTCCGTTCTACCGCGATACTGGTCGTGCCTATTGCTAGAATGATGTCGCCCATTAAAAAACACAAACAAATCAACTTTTTTTCTAGAGGAACTACGGTGTTTTGATTCCTTCATTGGATACATAGGCAAAGGGTCGCGAAACTCTCACGAACGCAATAATAAAAACTCATTTTCCCCCCTAAGCAAACATAGTTGTAGATAAATACACCCTTGTACATAACAAACAATCTTAACCAAAAAACAGATATTTCAAAAGGTTCCTGCGGAGTACCGCAGATGCATTGGGTGCTAATACCTTCCCATTGCATAACCAACCCCCGAACTCTTGATCTCTTTTCAAAAACGCATTGTATTACTTTTTATTTTACATTGCATGTTTTTTAGGGTTTTATTTCGCTCTTTTCCCTTTTCCCTTGGAAATAATAAAGCGCGGTGGCGACTCTTGCTTTTGTGAGTCAAGTTAATTAATAGCTTGATCTCCGATTTTCACCGCTACAACTATGTTTCTTTTAAAGTGCCTTTATTTAAGTGCAACTAGATCGGCATTAAAACTGGAGTAGAAACCGATGAATTAGGATTCACAAGGGTTGATCTCCGAAAGGCAATTTACAAGAACGAACCATTAATCATGGAAAACCAAGCAAAACAAGTTTATTTTTGTCACTTATCCATCTAACACTATATTTTCAAGTTTTCTTCAAGGAAAACACTTTCCAGATAGTACTGATGAAAATCAAGATTTCAACTATGCGACTCCTTGATTACTAGCACGTGTACGTCAATAATCTGAAGAAAATGATTTAGATGATGTGCATGCTATTCATCGTGATCATGAAGAGGGAATATGGGAAAAATAGTAAGTAAATGGTTTATTACTTTTGTTTCTTAATCATTTGTTTTAGTTTTGATGTAAAATTATATAGTGTGTGCCATTTTAGGTTTGCATTTTGGTGTAATCAATGAATATTTCTGTTTCAGATTGAGGAATTGGAAAACTGTACAATTTCTTTGTTTTAGGAATCTGCAAAATATGGTTCTGTATTCTGTAATATGGTTATGTAATTCAGGAGCAGGCGATAGTAGAAAAATATTAAATCTTTACCCCTCAGTTTCCAGAGTAAACCGAGGTAAGAATATTGATATATTATCTCGGTTCTTCAAAACACTGAGTGTTAATATTGGGGCCGCCATCCAGTTATGAAAATAATAAAAATGTTGATGCTGAGAATCGAACCCACGTGTAGTTAACTTCACTCCAAGGCGTTTTAATATCCTAGGTGATAAGGAGTAACCTTTTATGACTACCTTATTTACCTCGTTTCCGTTATCAATATCAAACGCATTTCATGTCCGGTGTTAGATGTGTTTTTTATAGTAGTGGCTACAACTAATAGTTCTATTGATGATATCCCTATCTGTAAGAACGATATTTCAAACACCCAAGAGAGAAGTTAACGATACAAAGGAGGCAAAGCTTCTATAGTTCACAAATAATGAAAAGGGGGAAAAATACATTAGGAACTCGAGTATCCAAAGGTAAAAGAGATATCATTACTAAATATCATAGGAACACACATTATAATTTCTATACAAAATGTTACCTATTACATGAATAGTGTTTAATGTGTTTTTTCCTAGAAAAAGTGAGGTCCTATTAAGTCTATTCTATTGCTCCCTCCAATAGCCGACATAGGGGTGTACACGGAAAATTCTCATCCTAAAATCAGAGACAAGGGATTGGGAGAAAATTGTTATGGTCTGGAAAGCTTAATGATGACATCAGGTAGAACAACACATAGAGTAGACGATCCCTCATTCTACCATGGATAGACGATTTCCCCTAGACGCGTCAATCACCGTCTCATTAAACTCAACGGCCCCTTCATAAAACGTCTCATCTCACACATACTATTTTATTCGCTCAAACTATATAATGTGGAAAGTGCATCGTTCCAGATATTCAAAACCATTTTCACTCTTACATTATTCCTTATTCTCACTAACTTTAGTGTCAAAGTGTTATCCTTGCAAATCAGTCCTTTGTGTTTGTGATAATGCTCTTTTATTTTCTCTATGTCGATTTTTACCAACAATTAGATTGTATATCGATTAATGTTAATCCACATAACACTCATATTTAAATTAAAATATAAAAAATGCTAACAAATATTTTAATACATTGGTAAAATGTCAAAAGAAATAACTTTTGCATAAAAGTACATATGTGTGTGAGGGAGTGTATAATTGCTTCCACGTGTGTGCTTGCGCGTTTGTGTGTTTTCTAGGCCAACCATATTGATCTTGGACCGATCCACTTGAGATTTCCTGCTCCTAGTCAAAGTCTCTTGACCGACTACACTGTTATATTTCTAGAATCTTCTCATTACCATAGGACTATCTTATACCTTGCTAAAAAATATTTATGCCTCATACACATCTAAAGGTCATCTTCTTCCAACGCTTGAAAGATAGAGAGACTGTTATTTATTTTCCATATATATAGAGAATGACACAAATCAGGTAACAAGTTTTAAACATAATTTGAATACTCTACACTCTTTCATATACTGACTTGAGTGTCAGAGTGTTAACCTTGCAGGTACACCATCCTCTCTGCTGCATTAGAACCTCTACTCGGTTGCAGCTTCCGCCTCTCTGTATTTCTGCTTCTAGAATGGAACAATAGAGCCATCTTTGGGAAAATATCTTTGATTCCCTCATTTTATACAACTCTCTATCTTTGTGTTCCGTTGTTTGGGTGAAGTTTTCTTGAACCTCTAAACAGAAACCTAGCAAATCAAACACAAAACTCGGTTGCGGTCGATCAATTCAAACTCTACACCAATTATAACTCACCAATTATTTAGATATTTGGATTTTCGTATCTATGATATCTTTGATCCTTGGTAATGGCTGGATCTAGAGCTATTCATTCCACCATCACACGCGAAGCCGCTCTAGTTGCTGGTGGGGCAACATAGACAATTTCCAATCAACAAAACACAACTCATCCCCCTCCCGACATAATGAATCTCATCATTGATATTCCTTAGCATGTAGATCTAATCCTTCCTTATAGGAACAAGGACTGTCCAAGCATTGCATCATGGAATTCCAACTCCTCTTCTGGTTGAGCAACTTGAGATATTACACATTTTCATCATTCTTAAAGCGAACATAGGTGCTCAAGGTACAAATGAGTTACTCAATTTTATATTCAACATTGTTCAACAAAAGGATTCCAATGTGATGAGGGAAAGGTTCCTTCATTAAGAATAAATCATCCACCACATTGACCCCCAAGAAAACACAGTTCAAGAGGTCGTATCTAGAAGAAACTATTACATTGGTCCGGAGCCGACCGCACCAAGGGGAAGCAATTCGAAAGACCGTTCAAAAGGCTGAAAACGCAATTCCCCTCCCTAGAGCTCGTGCACAGACTGAGGAAGTAACACTCCATTCCTAAATCACGACAAACACCAATCATCCAGGGTGCAACCCAAACATGCCTTATATGCTCGGATATTAGAAAATAAGATCCCTAAGTCAATACAAAATCCTCCTAAACTGGGAGAATATAATGAAAAAGGAGACCCCAACGAGAACATCCAACTCCTCAATGCCAAACTTAACTACTACAATTTTGATGAAGCATCCAAATGTAAGCTACCAACATAAATATTTGTCAAGCAAGCTAGATTATGGTTTAACAATCTCCCCGACAGTTGCGTTGAATCATGGAAATACTTTTGTGATCGGCTCATTGCTCACTTTAGTGCCCGGAAGAGGTAGCCAGTTACTATAACGACCTTGAGCACCATCATGCAAGAAGTGAATAAGAGTCTATGGTCGTACATCAATTTATTAACTCAGGTTGCACTAGAAGTGGAAGGAATCGAGGAAGCTCTCTTATGCTGGATCTTCAAAAATGGCCATCTTCGTGACCATCCTTTCTACCCTAAGTTGGGAAAGAAGAAGGTATATACGAATCAAGAGATGTTGAACCTGGATCAACAATACATAACATTGAAAGAAATTTTGAATACTTTCTCCGATAACCCGACCTCAACCACAAGCTTCAACTACCCATTTGAGAAGCAGTCTTGTCATAAGAAAGAAAATACTAACAGGGGGTGTGTAGCGATAAAAAATGTAGCGGGGTAAATCGGAGATCGAATTATTAATTAATTCGTCTCACAAAAGCAAGAGTCGCCACCGCGCTTTATTATTTCCAAGGGAAAAGGGAAAAGAGCGAAATAAAACCCTAAAGTATGCAATGTAAAATAATACTTTTAAAAGTAATGAAAATACAAGGCGTTTTGAAAAGAGGTCTAGAGTTCGGGGGTTGGTTATACAAGGGGAAGGTAATAGCACCCAATGTATCTATAGTATCCTATAGGAACCTTTTGAAATATCTGTTTTTTTTTTAATTGTTTGTTTGATTAAAATAGTTTGTTTGGCTAAAGATGGGTGCGGATGAGATTTTGAAGAGACAGCGACCTAATGTCGAAGTTTTGACTTAAAAGGTGTGAGTTTAAAAATTGAATCTTTTGGGAAAATTATCTTAGGTTTAACAAAATAGTAAACAAACAAAAGATGAATGAGGGTATTCGCACGATTGGATGAGATGTGTTTGATAACATGAAGTCAACAAAGTTAAAACATTTCCCTTGGATTAAATCGAGCGAGCAAAATAAAATAGACATCAAAATATAAGCAATCAAAAGTCACAAGAAAATAAATATAACGAAACAGATTAATGACCTAAAGGCATCGAGAAATTAAAATGACAAAGATATTTAAATAAAATAAAAGAGAATGTAACTAATTATCTAAAGAAGTTATTTAAACTAAATTAAAAATTTAAGATTACTTACTAAAAAAATTCTAAACTAACTACAAATTCTAAGGTTGCAAAAATAGTTCTAAAATTACTAAATTAGATCTAAGCTAAATTAAAAATTTTAAAATTAGTAAATTAAATCTAAACTAAATAAAAATTCCAAGGTTGCTAATCTAAAACAAAAAAAATTCCAAAGTTACTAAACTAAATCTAAATCAAATAAAATTCTAAAAGAATATTAAACTAATTCTAAACAACTAAAATTCTAAACTTATTAAACTAATTCTAAATCAAATAAAAATTATAAACTCATTAAACTAATTCTAAATCAAATAAAGTTCTAAAGTCCCTAAACTAAAACTAACAACTAAAATTCTAAAGTTAACTTAAATAAAATCAAATAAAATTCTAAAGTTTACTAAATTAAAACTAAAACAAATAAAATTCTAAAATTTACTAAGTCAAATCTAAATGGAATAAAATCCTAAAGTTACTAAAATAAAACTAAAACAAAATAAAATTCTAAAGTTTACTAAGTCAAATCTAAATGAAATAAAATCCTAAAGTTACTAAAATAAAACTAAAACAAAATAAAATTCTAAAGTTTACTAAGTCAAATCTAAATGAAATAAAATCCTAAAGTTACTAAAATAAACTAAAACAAAATAAAATTCTAAAGTTTACTAAGTCAAATCTAAATGAAATAAAATCCTAAAGTTACTAAAATAAAACTAAAACAAAATAAAATTCTAAAGTTTACTAAATTAAAACTAAAACAAATAAAATTCTAAAATTTACTAAGTCAAATCTAAATGAAATAAAATCCTAAAGTTACTAAAATAATACTACAACACATAAAATTCTAAAGTTTACTAAACTAAAGCTAAAACAAAAAGTTATAAAATAAATCTAAATTAATACTAAACTAAATTAGTTATAAGATTTACTAATATATATATATATATATATATATATATATATATATATATATATATATATATATATATATATTTTTTTTTTTTTAAATAAGGTTAAAGAGTTAACAAAAACAAAATAAAAAAGAACCTCACAAGGACTTGAACTCAGGACCTTTAGATTGCTGGTAATATGCCTTGCCAATTAAACTGTTGGAGTTTCAATCCCTTCTATTTTCAGAAAACGCGGTTGATTTAACTGCTCAATATTTTCTTTCATTGTTATGTGTTGTTGGGAAATAAATGCTCTTGCCGCGTGTTACTTGTGGGTTGAACTGTTATGACGAAAGTGTTTGGAAAGTTTCAGTGGTTTAAGGTGGAGATATGGAGAGTTTTTGGTTAAGTGAAAGATGAACTATTAGGAGTTTTACGGTAGGTTTTATATTGAGCAGAGATTGAGATATTTCACTGTGAAAATAGTTTGAAAGGGTGTTTTCATTTTATAGAGAAAAAACTGATAAAATCTGGTGGGAAGAGTTGGTTCATTTGAACTATTGTGGTTAACTGTTCTATTGCTTTTATGATACAGGTTTTGGTCTTGCTAAGTTAGTGTAATATTTGGCTGGTTTGGACTGATATGAGGCAGCTTTTTGCAGGTTGTGATATAGCATTTGGACCGTTTGAATTGTTAGTAACAGCAAGGCAACAATAGGGTGCAAATCAGTTTTGGACATCAACATTTTGCTTTGTTTTGGACTATTTTTGGCATGTTATGGGCAGCAACAAAAATTGGTTTTGGGACCACTACTTTATTGGACATAAAACAAATAAATAAAGATAATAGTAATAATAAAGATAAAAGGCAATTTGTTAGTAATATAAAACAGAATAATAATAATAATAATAATAATAAGAAGAATGAGATGCAAACAAAATTAATTTTATTTTAATTTTAATATTAATTCAGTTTTTAAAATCGAATTAAAATTAGAATCAAATCAAAATCAATATTGGATTAAAAGAAACTAAAACTATAATGACTAAAAATAATCAAAAAATGTAAAATAAAGGAAAAAAGATATTAACTATATTTTTGAGATTTTCTTTGGATTAAAATTTATACTAAAACATGAATCTAAATGGAACCAATAAAACTATATTAGTTTTTTTATATTTTTTGTATTAAGAATTGCGAATTTAAAATACTATAATGCTAATTATAAATATTTTTGTGATTTTTCTAATAATACGTTTGTAAAAAAAATGACATGAACTAAAATACATATTTTTTTAGATTTTTTTTAAATAATACAAAAATGATAAATACAAGACGAAAAAATGTGCGATATGCACGATTTGGTAAAGGTTGGACAAGACATGATCAAATTTCATTAAATTCAAAAAGCGACTTCTAACGTTTTCATTCTTTCGTGGCATTTCAAAAAAATAATCATCTCTTGACTTCTAAAGGAAAGTTGTAGTTGTTGTCAAGGAGAATCATGTGTAAAAGAACCACTAAAAAAATGTCGAACTTCGAAGAAGTTATGAATTTTTGAAATCTGACCCGAGAAAATGGCAAAAATAGGTCGAATCGCTTGTGAACGCTTGCTATGTGATAATGAAGATGGGAGGTGGTATCTTAGGTCAAAATTCGGGGTATGACAGCTGCCCCTATTTAAGTTTCTTCTATCCGGAGATATGGAGATTAAAATCTTCGTCTCGACGAGATTGAAGGTACTTAAATACATAATACGCAATTTTTGCCCTAAGATACCGCCATTATGTTTGTGATATGAATGTAGTATTTAAATTCACAGAGAATGATATTGTATGAGACAAGATAATGCTGGAGAAACCAAACACCAACAAAACACAGGAGCATAGATTATACACTACTGGGGAAATGATCCCTCGACCTCAAATGATAGACTCTTGACAGCGAATAAAAATTTGAGAGAATACGACCTCTAACCCTAACAAAGAAGGCATCTTGCATAGGCCACAAAAATAGATTATTGACCCAAAATAACAGTGAGTTCACAACTCGAGGTCAAAGATAGACAAAAGATGTACCAAATTTGCTGATAATGGATTACCGACTTCTGAAGGTAAAGATTCATAACAAAACTCTCTGCGGGATTTCCGGAGATATACTAATTAATGCTGAAATAATAATATGGTTGTAGATACACAAGCTGCTCAAATAAAGAAGCTTCCACTTGTTGTCGTTCAAAGATGTCAATAACATACAAGTTGCTCAAATAAAGAAGCCGCCACTTGCTGTCTTCCAAAAATACTATGACATACAAGTTGCTCAAATAAAGAAGCTGCCACTTGTTGTCGTCCAGGGATGTCAATAACATACAAGCTGCTCAAATAAAAAGCCGCCACTTGCTGTTTTCCAAAAAAAAAATACCAATAACATACAAGCTACTCAAATAAAGAAGCCGCCACTTGCTGTATTCCAGAAAAAAAAATCAATAACGCGCAAGTTGCCCATGAAGAGACCGCCTCTTGCCGTTTTTCCAAAAACAATAACGTACAAGTTACTCGTGAAGAGCTGCCGCTTGTCGTTTTCCAAAAGATAATAACGTACAAGTTGCTCGTGAAGAGCTGCCGCTTGTCGTTTTCCAAAAGATAATAACGTACAAGTTGCTCGTGAAGAGCTGCCGCTTGTCGTTTTCCAAAAGATAATAACGTACAAGTTGC